TAGATTTCACGACTTAGCCGTTTTAGATCTCCTCATCGATTTCTTTATCAAAGGTAACGCAATTGCAATGGTTTTGAAGATCGTGTTCGTCGATCACACGTATTTACTGTAGTCGATTTAGGTCAGCTACACTTGCCGGAGATACGGTGTTACCGAATTTACGGATCATCATTACAACGCCTGCAAAAAATAAACCAATAGACATATTTAAAAATCGTAAAATTAGTAAAACACAGTAGTGTGCCAAAGAATTTTCAATGGGAGGGGATGTCATGAGCAATCATTGAAATTATTCTATCGATCAAAAAAAAAATCTGCAACCGTTTTGTTATCTGATAATCGCAAAAAAAAAAATATAAAAATACAATTTATAACATAAAACTTCCCTAAACGTCCAGCTCTCAAAACAATACGGCCAATATCCCCCCCCCCATTATAGCCCTCTTGGCTAAGCCACTGATTATGTACTATAATAAATAGATAATATGTACATCAGCTAGATTCTTAGAATGTTAGATAGTTATCTGTGTTATCTTACTGTATATCCAAAAGTAGCTAAAACGCTGCGAGGCTATTGCTAAAGTTTTTCTCCACCTACGACCTACCTCTGTGAGTCTGCTTTTCGGCACTTGATTGTATAAAATCAATTCGCAACATTACAATTATTGTCACCAAACATTAAAAAAATCATCAAAACCAAGCAGTGTTAACCCGCTCATCAATTTATGTTTAATAATAATAGATTAAAAATGTAATAGTAATAACTATAATAAGTAAAAACCATTCTAACAAATTTAGGTCAGCTAAAAAAATCCAACACCCGGGCGTTAACCCTCCCCCTACCTCTCCTTGGGTACACTACTGGTAAAGTCATCAGTAATTACTCTTATCTATTGATTTATTTAGATAAGGTAGTTAATAATTAATATAATAAACAGTAATTAGGCTTATAATAAATCAGCGGTTCATGACCGAGTGCCGTATGCGGTGTCTTTAAATTATAAAAGCGGAAAAAAAGAGAGAATATAAATTGAAACATTAATATTTTATATATTTATACAGGTACAAATTAAATGTTTTACAAAATGCCAGTATAGCTACTAAATTATGTATATGTTTTTAACATTTGTTTAATTTTATGCCGTAATCGAAAAAAAAATCAATAAAGACAACTCGCGGGTGTACCTATATTTGCATCAACTATTCATTCAACTAATACTAAACATATTATTATTGTAATATAATATAATATGAAAGTATTGTACTCTATTATATTCTATATAGGTATTTTCAAAAGAAATTATCATTATTCAATTAAATACACGTATTGTAATGTACCAATTATTTTTATTTTTACCATAAAATATTATTTGTATTTTATGTTTGTATTTAATCTATACATAATATTATTATATTCTTAATAATGGTTTTAAATATTTAAATTAATTATCCTCCATAAGTGCATAACACGATATTTTTGTTAGTTTTTAATATTGTGTATTATACTCAATCGCGTCATATTCACTTATTAATATAATTATGAGGAGAGTTAAAAAACGATGTTTTGTTTAAAAAAAAGGTTTTAAAATTTGAATTGCATATTATAATACAATACGATGTTATGTACCGTGTATTTCACCACATAGTATACCTACATAATACCATACAATATAATATAAGTACTCAATAATAATACTCATATACTTATAGATAGCAAAAATGTAATAATTCTATAAAAAATGCCATCAATACGATGCAGGCTTACACATAATAAGAGAATACCTATATTAAACAAAGGGTGTTTTATGAAAACTCCAAAGCATGCTCGTTCTCATTTTTCGTTCAATAAAATTCTATATTTTGGAGTTTTTAAATACACTTTAAAGACCATATTTTCAAAGTCTTGCGATTTTCTGTACTACTTAAGGAGTGTCCTGTACTCATGTAGGCTGTGGTGATACAAACCCCAAGCCCCCCCCCCAATTTGCGCCTATGGCTGCAGTCGGTTTTGTCAAAATTTAAAACTAATGTAGATTTGACCGATCTAAACATTAATTTTGTTTGTTATACTTATAATGTTTTTCAATATAATATTTAAATTCTGTATCATAAAATAAACCTTAAGGGGGCTGGAGGGGGCTCCAGTCAATGAAAAACAAGTGACTTTTTGACCAATAAGCTAGACAAAACTGGAAGAATTTGAATTGACAGAGTTTAATTTTGGAAACGGATTATAAACGGATTATGATTGATCAACAAGTTTACTAGGGAATGATCGATTGCATGTATATACGTATATTTGTTTTAAAGTTACACCAAAAACAAAAATCGATTTTGCCAAAAACAAAATCGAGTAAAAATTGCGAAAAACCGCTAAAAATTGGATTTTAATTTCTAACGCTTTGTTTATTACCATAGAAACGAATAAAAAATAAAAAATATTATAATATTAATTCAACTTACATGATATAATAATTAATGACAATATAAAATATCTAGACTGACAAACCGTTTACGCTCAGAATCGTTTTCCTTTTACAATGATAGAATATCGTTGAATTCAAGTTTAATACAATCCATTATACATTGACGCACTTGTAATCTACTGTACAGCAGAGCGACATCCACTTACCTGCTTTTTAAGCTTAAATTGTGTATTAAACATTTAAATTAACTTAACTTAATGCTCAACTAAAAACATTGTTTAACTTAATTTATAACGTTAAAAAAAAAACTTGAATGTATTTTATTTCAATTGTTTTATATAGGTAATAGTTCGCTGTTGTTTGATACTGGATACATAATAAGTTGACATTTTTAAACTGTGTAGTAGATACATTAATTGTTTAATCTTGGACATAATACATAATATAATATTTTTTCAATTTCTTGTGATTGGTGGTCCAATAATGTTTTGATATTTGTAAGTAATGTTTGTTTATGTTTTGATTTCGTACCAACATAATATAGTTTTATCGATATTTTATGTTTTTTTATCATATTTTTCAATGAAATTGTTTGTGTAGTAAATAAATAATAATTTAGTATGGAGTATGTATTCAGTTTTAAGTATTCCAAAGTTTATATAACTATAATAGGTACTACTTTTTTTTTTTTGTAGAATCTTCAATGACCAATGGGTTACAATGCAATGTTAACTTTCAAACTTTCATAATTCGAGAATGCTATGGTTTATAGGTAATTAATAAAAAAACAAAACTCTTAAATTTGATGTGTGTAATAAATAATAGCTGATTATTATTTTCAAATTCATGAACAAGGATTTAGTTTTTAAAATGGAAAATTTTAATTAAATTTTAAAGTTTACATGATTGTAATTGTTTTTAAAATTCTTTTAATATTAATTTTCTATTTTTCTATTAATTAGGACAGTAATTCATTTTAACAGGTTTTTTTTTGGATTTATATTAAGTTATTCAGCGTTATAGGCAGGCCCGGATCAACACATCGTAGGCACAGTACATTTAGTGCATAAACACTAATTATATGGGCCTGCAGTGTTTTAATGGTGTTATATAGTGTTTAAATGGTTAAGAAACCTTCTGTTTGGGAGAGGAAATGTCGAATCTTAATGTTATTCCTTTTAAAAAAAAATAAAAATATTTACAGCATAAAAATCAAATCTAAACTTTATTACTTTTTATTTGATAACAATTTTAACAGATCTTAAAAACAATTCATTTTACTCCAAATAAATACAAGGGAATTGTCAAAAACCAGTAATGGGCATAAACGAGTTAAAAATTTAAGGCTAAGTTAACATTTTAAAAAGTATATTTAATTTTAGCTTTTTAACTTAACTAGTTACTTTTGGCTTTTCATTAACGTAACTGTTAACTTACTAAATTTCTTTTTTTAATTAACTAATTAATTTTTCATTTCAAAAAGTAAGTTAAGTTAATTTCTTTTGTTTTTAATTTTATTATATTTCACTATTTCAGTCTATTTCGTTTTCATGTCAAAAAATATTTACCGTGAATGGTTTAAAGTTAAAAATGTATATCATTAAAATCTAACTTATATGGAAATACTATACCTATTTTTTTTTATCTAATTGATACTTTAGACTGGTAATTTTATATTTTTTTCATTAATTGTTCAAGCCAACAAACAAAAAATAAAGAAATAATTATAGATTTTAATAAATATGATTTAGACTATCTTAAGATTCTTTTTTAAATGGTACAAAAATTATTTAAATGACTGGAAAAAAATAAGCTTAATATCTTCCTGCAAAAATCATCGACTGTTTATAAAAAAAAATAAGAATCATCCTATAAGGCCATAATAGCATATTAGGTATATGATGTGCGGCATGTGCCTACATTAATATAATATTTTTAGAAACAAATTATTTTTTATTCTGAGTGATTTCGTGTATGAAGGAAATTTAACATTCCAGGATTATATTTTAAACGTTATAACTATTATTATCTAGAATTCATTTTTAGAGCATTGTTGGTCAAATATGTTGTCATGATTGGTTGGTAAGTAGTTCTAACTTGCTTATTTAAGACATAATATTGTAGAATTATTTTATATTATATTTACCGAGTACAGTTGTATTGATATTAATTAAATATCCAAATCTAACTATTTTATAGTGACAATGGTTAAGCTACTAACAATAAATAATATAAATTGATAAACGTTTTGTGATAGCACCACGGATTAAATAAAACTTTATTTTATCTGTGATAGCACCGATATTATATATCATCATAATAATAATATATACCAACAGATTTGTATATCTTCGCCGATCGCACCAAAATTAAGGATCAATTTAATAATGATTACAAGAGCCAAGACCATTATTAAAATTAAATAAATATAGTTCGTGTAATTATATCATTAATCACATGTAAAACATTATAATAAATATTATATTATAGTAGGCCAAATTTCGGATAAGTTGAAAAAGATCTGAATTGTATAGTAATTAAATAGTAGGTATAATAAATAATAATATATTATATTTATTGGACTGGTTTGTAGACCCTGGTGCAAGTGATGTCATCGACAGTCAGGACCTGAAAATTGAAAAGCACACTGTTATTATATTATCTTTTACAAGATTTCGCATAGTAGTATATATAATAATTTTTATAAGAGTTTTCAGGTTTTCCGCACCAACTTTAAAAACGATCTCATTAGTGAGTGATGTCAAAACCTACATTATGGGGTTTTGAGAATGAACGATTTTTAAGTTGACTTATATGGTACCTATCTAAATTAATTGTTGAGTAGGTAGGTTGAGTAGATTTTGATTACCTGCTTAAATTTACGTTTATAATTTAGTATACTAGTACAATATGAGTAACTATTGCAAACGCCAAACGCTGATGGATTATTGTTATAAATCAAAAATCGTATTTTTATAGTTAATCATATTATTATACATTGTGGTAAATAATAACACTTAAATACTTAATGCATCGCCTGTTGTAAGAATAAATATAAAAAAATATGTATGATATGCCACCACAATGCATATATAATAAGACATCAATTTAAACGACTCCAACAAAAAGTCTTTTTATATAAATAGAATACATTTTGTCATTTAATTTAAGTATCTATATTATTACTATTGTGTGATCGTCTTTAAAGTGTTTGGCCATTGTACCTTAAAACCCTCCCCCCCTAAACCCGAGTAGTGGTGTATTTTATTGTCCTTTTTACCATTTTCAATTGTTCGGGCTCGAATTCTCTAACGATCGTGGTGTCGTTGTGCTTGTCGCATTTTTGGGTGTGCACCAGCTTGTTTCCGTCCTGGACGATGAGTGACTTCACTTTGCGGCCGTCGGGTGTCTCCTCGTCGAATTCTTCATTGAGTTTGAACGCGATAGACGAGTTTTTGAAAGTCGAGTTCGACGACAGCACGAGTTTGCCGTCATCGCTTTTGGTCAGCTCCACCACCGGAGATACGGTATTTCCCAATTTGCGGGTCATCATTCCAACACCTGCAAGACAAAATAAGAAACGTACGATATAGTGAAAACTGTTCCGAAAAAAATCAATTATTAATTGTTTCAGTTGGATGGAAAAAAAATGAGTCATAGATATTATGTTTTTCAACGGAAATAATTAGTCTAGGAAACGATTTTTTTTTAGAGATTGCTAATAACGTAATTTATTATATTATGTATAGGAGGCGGCTAGAGGCAATCTAGGTACTGTAAAGAGAAATTGACGACACGAAATCGGTCGTATAATTGATTTTTAAGGGCAGCCTAAGTATTCCAAACAAAAAAATAGGTCATAAAAAATCACATAGTAATCAGCCAAAAACATATCCACGTTAAAACAAATGTTCTCCATTGTTCTTCTGCTACTCGTAATGTAATAATATTATACAGTACAACTGTACAAGTATACAACTCTTCTATATAGACATATCATAGTTCTATGGAATAGACATAAAATATTGTGTCGTTATTAATATACACATAATTCCTAAGTACATGGGCGTGTTATTGTGTTACGTCACCAACGCGTCTGGCCCCTCTAGCAATGGCCAGAATATTGTGGACTTAAAGTAATTATTCAAAATTAATGGGGGAACTGATTTCAAAAAAAGAACTTCCAAAAAATTACGCATGGCCAGATCGGTGAAGTTGTTCTAGATACACTTATTAATTTATTAAGAAATTTACAATATACTTTTTATATAATAATATTATAATATATATATAATTAATATAAGAGTTATTTTTGATACTAAGTATAGTCTATACTGTATAGACTGGATATAGTTTAATTCGTTGTATACTACAAATAATTATGTGATACAATGATTCAAAATGATACAGAAGCAATTATAGCTAAAATAGTTATAGTAGCTGGTCGTATACTTAATGATACTCAGTTCCCAACGATGAAAATATTATTTAATTTAACGGTTTTGTCTCTATAAGACTAATAGTTATTTTACAAATCAAATCGATTTAGCCGAGGCACGTCGAGAATGCATCAATGACGATGATGTAGTCATAAATTATACTTCACATCTATAATATATTCTGCAACTTCAAAGTTATAAGACGCTGTGTATAGTCGGTACAAACTACAAATTTACATAATATAGTACATATACAACTAAGTACTAACTAGTTTGGCAGTTTATACCTTGTAATTTGTACTTATTAATATTCCTATAGTCGTGTAGATACGACTGCAGTCATATAATAAAGTTGTACTATATTTTGAGTTTGAAGTACCTATAGGACGATGTTCAATATATTATAAATTATAATTATTCATTATTGTCATTAAAACATTCAAATTATAATATAATGATACAAATAATCACTGTAAAATATTTATTTATGTTTTAAATCATAACATACAAATAAATTGAGTACCTATTGAATAGTTCTTATAATTTATAAATCATATCATTATATATTATATAAAGTAAAAGTAAATATTATTTTTTGTAATGTTTATTGTAGTCGAATCAAAATGTTAATAAATATTATTCTGTTGCCAAATCGAAAACGTGTTGATTATTTATGTAACGATAGTTCTTATTTTTAGTATTACCTATGTATTTATTTTTATACCTTAACGACTAAATGTAATATATATATTAGGGAAACATAGAATTTTTATTAAAAGTTTAATCATTTTTTACAAATTAAAACACGTGATACGAATTTTGTAGGTATATATTTTATATATTCATGTTTGATCCATAATAATTGAGAACCTATATCGTATATGTGTTATTACTTATTAGTTATTATAGGTACTAAGTATTTCATATTTTGAACGAAATCTAATAACTGGAAAACTGATTAATATAATAGAATATAGATACATAATAATATCATAGTCATGTAGCGAAATTCTAGTTTATTTCTAAGTAGAAAAATATAATAGAGAAAGGAAAACAGACGGTTAATCACGTAGGTTTCCGTATATACAGATAATTATTGTAGGAAAAATGATACTTTGCACCTACATCATGATATTATTTTATTTTTTTGCATTACTTGCAACAATAACAATGAGTATATGAAAAAAATGATAATTTTACCTATGCAATGACAAAACAAAATTGAGTGTGAGCGAGCCACAGTGTAATAATAATATAAATAATAATGCGGTTTCTTCGTTTCGGTAAAAGAATTTCACCGGTGGGCAATGACCGCGTTCCCTGCTTATTAAGGTTCAAAGGAAAAAGTGTAAACTACTTCTTACGTTTAGACCAGACACGAAAAAAAAAAACTATCAGTACTATAATATTATGTATGTACTAATATATATAATTATATGTTATATATTATATACCTAACCAATTCATATAAAAAATATAGTTAATTTTCCCTAAATTATTTAAATTTAAATTTAATTACGTTTCGATTTAAAACGGGTAGGTACTTTTGCATATTATGGATAATCTAATAATAATTATTGCATTAAATAGACATTTCACACCATAATAAGCGAAACGTGAATGAATTCAAGTTATGCGTATAGAATGTGAATAATAATAATTATTATACAATGTACCTACATTGCAATAGCTCTACAGTCTACACTATGCTACGAAAAGAGGTTCTCAAACTGTGGTAGCCGAGGTAAGCACCTACGTGAAAAGCCACAGTGCCACACGAATACACGATAGCACAGAAAATAAATCGTATTTTTCATTTTATTTAAGAACGTTTGAAGAAAATATTTTGTTTTTGTTTTTAGATTCTGAGCGGGGCGAGGAAACTAGTGGTTTTACAATGGTGTCTATTTATTTATTTATTTTTTATATATCCTGTATATAAAATATCTACCAGAAAAATTGCTTTGATTTCAACATAATATAGTACCTTATCTTTTAGCATATTGGATCAAGATCTTACATTAGAAAGGTCACTTTTAGATTTTCTCAATAGTTATTTAATGCCACAGGAAAAACCACCGACAAATAATTACGAAAAGCCGCTAAAAATGGGATTTTAATTTCTAACTCTTTGTTTATCACCATAGAAACGAATTAAAAATAATAATACCTATTACAATATAAATTCAACTTACAGGATATAAAGGATATAATAAATAATAACGATATCCAGACTGACAAACCGTCTCCGCTCAGAACCGTTTTCCTTATACAATAATATTATATCATTGAATTCAAGTTTAATACAGTCCTTTACCCACTTGTAACCTACTGTACAGCAGAGCGACATCCACTTAACCACTTTTTTTTTAAACCTAGTTTTATATTTTGTGTAAATAATTATTTACTATCAATTGTGTACGTCATTATTGTTATCCCAAATTACTGAAAATAAAGTTTACACTTTGTAATATAGTAGGAATAGCTCTTTTCGTTTTATCACTAATCGGTAATTTTAACGAACCTTCATTAATGTTTATTATAAAGCTTAAAACTTACAACTATTAATCAGCTGTTACACGCATACTGTTGTAGTGCTGTGTGAAAATTAAGTGTTTAAAACCTTATTGTTAGGTTTTATATAACACAACTAAAAAAATGTACCTATCTATATTTAAATCGAATTTAAATAAAGCACTTAAAAAAATACAGCTACTTAAATTTTAGAAAAAAAGCCACCTAGCCTCGAGTTATTGATGCCGCTCCTAAAATAATTATTGTTAGTATTTATTACCTATATTATAAATTCTAATTAACTCAATTGAATGTTTTAAAAACAAATTGAATTATAATGTCTATGATACCCAATTAATACAAATATAGTATAGAAACTTTAGTAATTTATAGAATGATTGTTTAATTTTACTCAGTACTCGAAATAAAATATAATAAATTAATGAAAATAGCAAGCTCTTGTCTGTACCAATATACGACCTGCCTGTAATATTTAAACTTAACTATACGTCATCCATAATATTAATATAAAATGTACATTGTACAGTCACCATGAGTCATAATATGACTATATATTATATTATAATCATACATTTAAGGATTTATATTTTAAATCTAAAACATGTTATAATTAGTAGGTACCTATACAATAGTTTAGTAATAATAAATATAATATATGTATGATTTATGTAAACGCATACACATGCTGACACTGAGTGACACATAGCTATAAGTATATTTACGATATGTACTATCCAAAAAAATATTTCATCCATTTGCCAATTTCAGAGTCATTGTTTAAGTACTCGCTCGATAATATTTTGTGTTGTTGAATATGTCTAAACCAATTTTGTCCTAAATGAAAGTTACAACATGCAATTTTGCAGTTAGAAAAAACTTGCAATACTGCATTATGCGCAGCTTTTTCAAAGTCTACATGAAAATTGCTTAAATGTATTATATTACCAGTAATTTGAATACATATATTTTGTAACGTATTCCACATATTGATGTAAGTATCAGTATGTTTGATACTTAAAAAACAAAACGCCATAGGAACATAAAAATTGTTTGTATATACGTGAATAGTATAAAGTTGAACAAAATATTTCGGAGCGAATGAAAACGTCCCATCCCCAAAAACGTGTTCTGCACTTTGTAGCAATTCCAAATTTTTTTTACATGTAAATATAAATACATTTTCATCATCAATAACAAAACAAAATTTATTACCTTTGAAAGTAAGATTATGCTGAACATCAATTAATTGTTTTTTAGCATCTTCTAAAGATTTCGGTATGTTTGGAAAGGATTTTTTTCGTTTTTCATATATGGATCTTCGAATTAATTTCATATCGCTATATTGAAGATGTTCGGAATTATCAGTGTTTTGCAGTTCCCGGCGTATAAGTTTATTTGGTTTAATGTGTAAATCCTCTTCAGCTCTACGTTTTAAATTGCTTCTTACTACTTCTCGATGAATTGTTCGGTCGTCGTACTCGTCATGGGTATGCGTGTTTGTGATTTTTAAAATTGTATATTTTTTATTATTAACTACCCTTACTACAGCACTCACGGAACATTTTTTATTTGTACACCTAAAATGTGTATCACCAGATTTTAAAATTCGAAATTCTCTAAATTTATAACTATCAATATTTAAACACTTTTTACCTCGACGCGTTTCAAAAACATCACAAATATCGATATCCATAGTCTGATAGTCACTAGTCCGTAGTTATAGTACCGCTTTCTAGCGAACGACTGTTTAAAAATATTATGTTTAATACACGTCGATTATTTTCAATGATGATAATGACTGATGAAATATTGATTATTGATATGCTGGTAATTTGTACCGATAATCAATTGCTTTAGGTAAGTCCAAATTTAAAAATATAAAATATATGTTACGCACTATTTATGTTGTGCGCAAACGACTAAACGAGTCGTCCGATTTCAGGTTAACGACGATATTCGTTGTGCGCAAACGAGTCATCGATATCTAGGTAAACAATTTGGATTGTGCGCAAACGAGTTGCACCGGTATATTTAAGCTAAAAGTAGGCTAATAACCCTGGATGTTGAAGCCGATTAACAGTTAAATAAATATGTATCGAATTGTATAATGTTCTCTCATTAATGACAGATCATTGATAAATTCATTGTCTAACGGTTTTATAAAAAACAAAACTAAACATACAGAAGCGAGGGGCGTTGGCCGTCGGGTTGTTACAAAGAGGGTTGTTTACTTGCTTATCACTGTTCGAGTAGCATTATAATAGTATACAGATTGCATTAAAATGGCATGATTACGATTTTTTTTATCGAAAAAACCGATGAACAAACACACGTCTTGACATATTATATAGTACTATGGTCACGTAATATACTAATATATTGAATTTATTACTTTAAGGGTCGCCGCCACTCAATAATCCCTCTCTAAAAACCCACTAGATACAGCTAGTGTATATATTGAGAATAAACTCGCCGTCTCCATAGTGTACATACAGCGGGAAGCAAAAAATGTTTTTGTAAAATCGGATTGAAAAAACAAAATGTAATATTATTATTGTTATGTACATTGATCGTAGTTTAAATCATCTGCTTCATACTCTATCCGGATATTCGATCGAAATTCGAAGTACGTTCACAGAATAAATTATATTCTGTGGTACGTCTGCATCGTGCATTCGTGCTGCTGCAGCCTGCTGCTGTTGTGCATCGGGAAAGATGGTTTTTGGAAAATTTATCGCCGAGACCTCTGGTGCGGTCGTGACCTACATACGGCCGTAGCGGGACTTGCGGGTTTCGTTGGGTGTACGGGTGGGGGTGGGGGGGGCGTATGCGGTGATGGCGTGCGCGCGTGCATGGACACGTAATCGTTAAAACGAGCTCGACCGAAGTGAAACGGTCGGCGGCGTACCTATAATAATAATAATAAAATAATATCGTTTTATACGCACAGCTGTTATCTATCGGCCCGTCATACGGCGGTGATAGTAAACACTAATTTTATGCAGTTAAATGCTTAAATCTTACCAAGTCAATACTTAAAACTCTAACGTGTAGGTCGCTTGAATTTAGATTATATACGTATTGGTCAGTATAAAATATTGTATACATGCGTTGTGACGACAAATTCCTACCGATAATAACTGCACACACGACGTGCCTGTAATATTTATACGCGATATTTAAATTTAAGGTATGACACGATTGAAAAAACCAACAGCTCTTGTGCGAAAAGTGAAGTAGTAAACAAGGCACGATAGTAGATAATGATTAATAACATTACGATATAATGACAACAGTAAAAGTAGTATAATAGATACTGATGAGAATGCGTACAACAGGTATATTATACGAAAATAATCTTACCCAAAGCTTTCATGTACTCGTCGAACTTTTCGCTGGAGCTCAGCTTGTATTTTTTGTTCAGGAAAGCTTCCATGGTCACCGACTAGGAAAATTAAACGAAATCGGACGACGACGGTAAAATGTTACAAGTTCCCAGGTACTATTCCTATACTACACCGATGTGTACGGTATTGCCAGGAAGGTAGGTGGACGAGTACTGCAGACGACGAGAGACGAAAAACGAATGTGCGAGCGAGCCGGTGTGGTGTATCGTCGTGTGTAGAACGATATTAGAATATATATACACTGACGAAGAGCGTTGTCGGTTCCACTTCTACGCGGCGGCGTATTGTACGTTACAATACAATATTATATATTTAATATTTATATGTTATATTATTATAATCAAACCGTCGTCCCGTTTTATATGTGCGTCAAGACGACGTCTTTCCGCCCCGGTTTCCCATTACGATCTTCAACAGTGATAACAAGCTTCGCTGATAACAACTGTGTAATAATATCATAATATTATAATGATGTTGTTACAATATTATTATAACAATAACGATTTATTATCATCGCGGAAGCTTCTCTCGTTCCGATGGTCCATGGTCGTCGTGAGTGGTTCGAGTACTAAGTACACTCACACCTGCGCACAACAGTTCAAAGGCTATATAGAGACTGGTCAATATATATATATATGTTCCTGCAGAGACTTTTTATTATTTGTATAAATCGCCATTTTATATTAATTCCAAAATGTTACTAATTGCAATAATTGCATCTTGTAAACTGTTCGATTACGATATAATTGTATCCCATATAGCAAGTACACGAGTCTGTCAATCAACGTGTTTATTATAATTTTTAATTAATAATAAATAATAGCATACAATAATAGTACCTATCTCGTAATCGTTTTCGTAACTTAACTGATGGTCATACAATATATAGGCGCACATTGGACTTGAGTACAGAGTGTGCTAATACAATATAATATATTCCATTATATACCAACACCATTTCTTTTACAAGTTGTAAAGCCCAGTATCATATTATCGTACAATACAACGATATAATAATATATTGACGTATGCGGCGAAGTTGTATTTGCATAGAAAAAATTGTATAGATATTAAATTAAATTAAATTACCGACGTAAAAAGAATACGATATTGGTCCAATTAAAAAGACAAAAAAATATTATGTACCAATTAAAATGTACATATACTTTCGAATTTTTAACTTACATGTACAACTGCTACAACAATTAATGTATATGAAAAAGTTGTGAAAAAGTATCGACTTGGTGCAGAAATTGTTTTACACGTATACCTATTTTTGCAACCAAGGATGTTCTTCGAAGTTGTTTTTTCGACTGTAGTATTGTCTACTACATAATCAATGTCAATGTTGTGACAATTTCAGAAATAGTAGAAAGTAAAACATAAATAGTATTGAAGGACGTTAGCGGTATATACATTTTTCCGTGAGATTGTATATAAACCATAGCCATGACCGTCAATTTATATTTTATTTTTGAATGAGTTTTATCTATTTTCATAAATTACTTTAGTGTGTCCGACACTCAGAGAAGAGAATAAACATTACATTGAATCGTTATGAAATAAAAATTATACTTTTAAATTTAATAAAAATAAAAGCTTACCTATACTATATATCTGTACTTCCGCCATTTATTTTTTACTTAAGTACCTCTATGTTAAATTATATTGAAACTATAAATAACTGTATTACGTATATAATATACAGATTTATTGTTGGTATTGGAAATGTCTATATGCATTTAATATATTTTTTTTATGCGAGTAATGATCATAAACATTAAAGTTATCCACTGTCGTATAATACTATAATATACTATACACGATTGTCACGATTATATTATGTATCTTAGTATCTATAAGTATATATATACATCTTAAATCGGGATAGGTACTATACCAATAATGGTAACCATAGCTTTCTCTATTCAAGCGATCATGAATTCATGAATATAATAAGATGGCCCAACTATATATTTAATATCTATGGTTATTGATCCATATTATATCAAGTTTAACTGCGTCAATAACTTTTTGCGAACCCACTTAATTAAACAAAAAAAATAATTATATTTTCGATGTATCTATAACTAGAGACCGGATTTTTATGTTTTTACATATCTTTACTTAGAGTATGCAGCTCCAATTGGGTAAGCTTTCTCGACTTTTTAGAGCATAAAAAAGAATATTTTAAGGTTAAAGAATATTTTGTATAAAAAACATGTTTTAGGAATATATTGCCATAATGGGTTCGTATTTGAATATTTTATAAAAATCAAACAGGTAATAATTTGTTTTTTATTTTTATTATTTAAAACTTGTTATTATTATTATTTTTTGAGTTCAAAGGCTGAATTATTTAAGTTTGAGTTATTTTAATACATAATATTATTCTGTAGTTGAACTGTATGCAATCAATTTTTTATTTTAAGTATTATTATTTATGAATTCATAAGGCTAAATTATTTAAGTTTGAGTTTGAATACAACCCGTACTAGTATATATTCTGTTAATCAACTACCTATATGCAATTATTTTTTATTTTTTATTTTTCATTTTAGTATTATTATCATTTGAATTCATAAGTTTGTGTTACGGCAGTTAAATATAGGTACACCAGTATGGCAGTATATCACAATATTATAGATTAATTAATATAACTGTTTATTTTTATAAACTGTTACTTTTATTTGTTTTTTCAGTGATTAATACATTTTTATGAAAAAGAATATTTTTTCATAAAAGATTATTTTTGCATATAAAAGATTATTTTGATGAAATTATAGAGCATAGAAGCATTTTATTTTCAAGATTTTAAGCGCATATAAATCCGGTCTCTACCTATAACGAATAAATTGATAAAATATTACATTATGATATTGCAGTTAGGTACCTAACCTATTTTGTACACTCAATTTTGAATATTTATTTTAAAATACAAGAACTAACATTGAGTAAATTAATTCAGACATTTAAAATTCATTAAAATCAAGTTTAACAGGAGAAATTTGTTGATTTTAACTCAGAACTAATTTATTAATTTATCAATTTGCATTAACCAGTAACCACAAAATGTAAACTTTTCATTGATTGAATTATATAGGACGTATAGGTATTACCTTAATACATTACCTCTAAATGTATATGAAAACACGCTTACTATCAGCAATCAGCTGGTGAAATCTTTTGAAACTTAAAACTAATTGGTTTTTAATTATTATACTTAATTATACGGTGTCTATAGATTCAAGTGTTAGGTGCAGAGTGAAATGCAATCGTACAGGATGTTTGTAAATAATACCATTGAATATTTATCATAAAATGTAATGTATACTTATTAGTTATACATTTTCCGAATCCACTGTATTTCTGATTCATTATTATTCATTATTCATTATTACATGAAAATAGCACACATTTGTTATACTTAGATGTCAGATACATATGTATTAATAAAATAACTATGAAGCGTATGATGTATAATAATATTATACTTCAAACCTCTTAAATATATTATAGAATTATACAGCGTATATTTTTAGGTACTAAAATATCACAGTTTTGATAAGAACTAAATGGAATTAAAGCGAATAATAAAGTGTCTGGAAAATTGGACGATCGGTAACATAAATCATTAAACGTTATTTAAATTGTCAAGTCCTTCTGGAACATTCTGTAGGTACCTATAAATAGGGTATAATATAGTATATACTGAATAGTGAATACTACATACTATTCGCATAAACGAAACATAAACTATTATGATATTTAATTATTCTATTAAAACGATATTCAAATTTGAAATTATAGTAATAGCATATTTTCATCGAAAAGTATAACAAAATCTTCAAAAAACCACATTTGATTTGCTTCGATTTCTACACGAATACACTACCCTAGTTGTAAAATAACAGGTAAAAAATAATGTAATTTACTTATGCCTACTATATAGTCTATAAGGAATAAGGGTATTTACTTTTATTAAGTGAAGTTTATAAAGTGAATAGGTATAATTTTCAACGACTGAAATAATATGCTGTACTTACGTTCAATAATTTTTGAATTAACAAAAACCTTGTGTAGTTGTGTATAAGGACTAAGAAATATGTCTTACACCGTTGCATTGCTATCAATTAATGTTCTAAACGAATTATTTTTTACGCAAAACAGTAGATATAATATATAACTAAAAATACAACAAATTTTGCTTTTAATAAATTAAATTTAAAAAAAATTGATAAGCGTGGTCGAGGTTGACGATGGTTAAACATATTTAAATTTAACGATCTATTGAATCATAATATTAAAATCATTCACGTCTTCCCGAAAGGGCATTATTATAGTATATTTTATTATATTGTAATATATTATAGGACATTAAAATAATTATTTAATATTAAACATTAAAAATGTTGAAAACGCGTCAACGGATGTGATGCATGTACTCGTAATACGATTATTGCGTATTTATTTTAGGTATATGCGTTTATACGGATAATATAATATTGAGGACTTACCAAGGGCTTTCATGTATTCATCGAATTTGTCGCTGGACTCCAGCTTGTATTTTTTGTCGAAAATCAGAGACATAATTATAATAATATGCGTGGTACTGATTCCCAATAATATAATTATTTATATATTATCACGGCACTTCCAATGTAGATGAAGTTGAGAAATTTTCGTTTTGGCCGTCGGACGATCACTGTACGCGATCGCACAGGTGTCGCGAGTATTTATAGCAGTCGGCGCGCGGTGGAAGCATTTGCACCGATTTCGAGTCACGCGACTGGTCCAGTAGTCGGCGTCAACGAACGTGAAATAAAATTATTGTACAATGCACCCGCGCCACTAAACATAATAATAATATTATATTGTATAATAGTATAGGCCTAACCCGTCCTTGGGCCTTGACTTCCAATTAACAGACCACTACCGATTGACGGGTGCACTACGCATCACTGTATTTTAATAGTATTATACATTTATTATACTAGTCTAAATTATACATCGTATAGGTGTGTGTGTG